CATTGTACGAACTGAAAACTTACAGGGAATATTATAACCTCGGTGTGCTGTAATGGATCTTAGGGTGAATAGAAAAGTTTCTCTCCTTACTTTTGCCAGAATATTCTAGACTTTCCCTGAGACTATTTCCTTCGAAAATTCTTCATAATCTTCCACCACTTCATAATCTTCCACAACGTCTCTAAACTTACAAATTGTCTGCAAAAGAGAATTTTCCGAAAAAATACCAAGACATCGTTTTCTTCCTTTATTTAGCATAAACGATGTACAACAAAAAAAGTCTATGCATCGATTACCATTTCAATACTTACATATTTAATTAAAAAAATTTGATACACATATAATAACACGACATTGAGAACAAAAATAAAGAAATATACGCTCGATTGCATAATATATTTATTTATTCTTGTTTTCTTTGTTCTTGCTTTTTAATATTGGTATATTTGACAGTAAAATTAAAATCTATTACAAAATTAAATTATTTAAAAATTGCATAAAAAGTTTCCCGAGCTTTTGAAGTTTAATAATTAAATTTATTGAAAGTATACAAGAATATTGTGCGCATTTACGCAATATATTTTTGCTTATTGGTTTTTTTTGTTTTTTAAATATTGTTTGATAATTTAGCAGTAATTAGAATTTATTATAATTAATTTATCCAAAATTACACAAAAAAACGAGCGTTTACGAGCGTTTTAAGAAATGGGACTTCGCTCACAATATCAGTGTTTGAAGAAAACTGATTTACAATCTGATTTATGAATTGTATTTCAATCTGTATGAGGACAATAATTTATGAATCCCACGAGCATGTGATCTGTTGCTTCGCTCGGCAATATCATACTGACGGATGGTCAGACTTGCTACTTAAACGCAGCGAGGAACATCGAAGAGGAATCGTTTGGAGAGATTAAACGTAGTTAACGATCCACCAAACTCCTCTGAAATAACGACTGTACGCGGAGTTGCTCTAATTAAACTTGGTCCAATAAATCACTTTATTAGTTAGATCCCGATTCCGTCATACAATTATATCATGTTATTACGTACTTGCGAGAGAATTGTGTTACGCTTCAGCAGCTTGATTTTACGAATAATATTGCATGGTATAAGTAATTAGGAACTAGGCAATTTTTCCGTGCCAATAACATGAATATGAAAGTGATCACCTGGGAATATAGGATAAAAGGGTAAAAGTTGGTTATTAATGAATATATTAATTTGCCGTTGATACACATTATTAAATTTCGCAATTACATGTCATCAAAGACATGCGCGACCGCAGTCAGAAACGCGCATTTTGTGCAATACAGTAGTAATGGCTGATATTTGTATTGGTGTAATCAAATTTCACGGATGAATACAGCATGCGTAATTCGCACCAATCTGCATATAATGATCGGCCAATGTTAGCAATATTGACACGCAGCATCCGTTCCCAAACACACGTGACAAGTTGCTTGCGGTCCAGGACAAATACGATAACTTTGTTACTATGTGATGCGTACCACGCCATTCGTGTTATACCATTTGTCGGGCAAAACGGTGCTGGTATCACTCGCTCTGCCTGTTGCGTAAGCTCTTTTTTTGTGTCATCGTTACATGTAACATAGGAAAAGGTGAATCGCACAAAAGAGTGAAACTAGAATCAAACGAAAAGGACATGTCGCAATTTTATAACGATATCACATATACCGATAATTAACAATTTTTACGCGTTGATTAATAAAATTTTTTTTATATTAACGATAGTTTCTACTAGTGATAGTTCGATCATGATTCGCTGATTTTACGAACAGCGCGAATATGGCAAGGTGATTTCAATCAGAGAGTGGAAAAAGCCACACGCAGTGCGTCCCTTCAATCTATATCGTTAACAATATAGACGTCTGACCTATATCCCAACATTCCACTGTGTTAGAGCATCGTGCGGTAATCGAAAGCGCAGAACGTCCGAAAAAATCGATCACCGCGCTGAAGTGGGTTTCGAATAACTCATAGTGAAGCTGCGACGCAAGCGTACACGCATCCCGCCCTGCTAGGCTGCGTTTGGAAACTTTACCCGACAGAATAACGTTACTAAAAATAATGTGGTTTGTTAAAAATAATCGTTACCGTTATTTTTTGTAAAATGTAATTCGTTACTTGTTATTAATTTTAAAAAGTGATGCATTATTGTTAGTTAGAAATTATTTGTTACTTTTCTTTAACGTTAAAGTAAGATATTAAATTAAAAGTTACATCATTTGATAATTAATATTAATTGTAACAATCAATATTTAAACTTAAAATAGTCTCTATATTGTAAACTTATCTTTATATTAAATTTATCTAATGAATTTTCTAGAATTCTTAATGTTATTATAATATATTTTAAAACGTATGCTTATTTTTAGGATTTAGATTTTAATTTACCAACGCAGATTTTATTAAAAAATTTTATTAAATATTGTTGTTCTCAAACATTAATATCGTTATTAAAAGTATACATTTCAATATTTACCAATAGATACTGAGAATTTACAATATATTTCATGTTACATAGATTTTCAGTACTTGCAGTGACTGTCAGAAGCCTAAGATATAATAAAATACAAAGCATTTTTTAATACTTAATGTTTATTTAAATAAAATATTTTTAGCCAAAATTAAAAATAATACGATTAAAAATTATCTATTAAATATAGGTATGTAAAGATAATAAGAATTAAAGTAACGATAAAAGTAATGATTAAATTACATAAAATGATTAAATAACAACGTTACCGTTGCTGTTATAGACAGAAAAAAGTAAGGGTCATTACTGAAAAAAAGTAACGATAATAACAGCATTTTATGTAACGAGTTACTTCTCATCCCTAGTGCCCAACATGTCATTTTATTCTTGTTTTACGTCTAATACGATAAAGATAGAATGACGCACTAGGGCACTCGGGTGAAGTTTCTAAATGCAGCCCTATGGGGTCGACATTTCATCCTCGTCCCGAGTAGCTTTACAAGAAGCGACGAGGTCCCTGGCGCGACACGCGCATAATGTCAGCTGATGTAATCACTTCGACCAAGCCGCTGAACACCTGGGGCATAGGGCTTCTTTAATCTCACCGTCCCTAACGTGGTGGGCGCACGCGAGTGAATGCACCCAGAGGGGCGCGGGCAGGATGCACTTCCGGAGGAAGCGCTAAATATCCTTTCAATCTCGAAGCTTCAGTCGCTCACGAGAGAAGATTGCGTTGGATCAAAGGGCTGCCGGGCTCTTTTCGCTTCGTATTCGAGTGCAAGCTCGGAATTGCGAATTCGCTCGGAATACCTCCCGCTATCTTCATCCCCTTCCCATTAATAAAATCCGCAGATCGGATGTTTACAGAGGGTTTCGCCGAGCGAGATTCTCGAACGTGTTAGCCACCACATCCACTCATCCGTTCATCTGTCGTTTATTCTCACCTCATTTTACTTTGAGATATTCACTGTCCGGCCGAGCTAACTCTCACGGCTAATTCATGAATATGCTGATTATCGCGCAATTCCGCGTGCGCCGTTAATAGCGGCGAGAGTGCATCGTCGTTTCCGTGCACGTTTATAGAAATCATATGATGATCGATAAAGAACTTTCGCGATTCCGCGATTGCGTGATCGTCATTTCTAGATAGATCTGATAGTGATATCTGATGTGATAATTTCGTATCTTAAATGGGCAGTTAACGAGATTTTTACCTGCAAAGTTAAGTAATAAAATTGAACAATATAACAATTTAACGTTATTCGCATGAGTAAATTTAACTTAAATAAATTATGTGTTTTAGAAAACAAAACTTCATCTTTCCAATGTTTATCTTTCTATATATCAATTCGAATTAAAACATTCAGTCTTACTACTTTTCTATTTTTTAGTCTCCTTTCATCTTTTACAGTTTTAATCTAAAGTTTAATGTAGAGAGCACACAAGTTAAACTGCATAACAAATTTAGAATGAGATTACTTCTAAGATTACTTGCGGAGTAACTTTTTATAAGAGAAAGGAACCGATACGTCTTTAATGTATAAATGCATAAAATTTTTCTGTCCTTTTAGAGCAAGAAAAAAAAGAGAAAAAAGGAAACTATTAAAATTTTTAATTGTTAATCGAATTCTATTTTTTATTGCATTACTGTAAATACAAATAATTATTGATTATTTTACCATATATTAAAAGAAAATGCCAGAAACAGCACAAAATATTTCATATTCATAAATATAAGACACATAATTTACAATTAATTGTTTTTATTGTTGTTATTGTATCAATACCTATCTAATCTTGCCATAAGAGTTTCCATCTGTCGGCATGTTAACAATGATTGGTTAAGCAGTTAGAGTCATTTTTGTGCAGTTATCATACGCAATCTTTTCTACGGAATTCATCATATATTTTACGACTTTTTAATTTAATTTAATATATTGAACAATTCAAAAATATTTATAGTAATAAGACTGTTTTTTTATGGAAAAATTAACTTTTTCTTTTATTTAATAATATCTTATCTACTGCTGATAATGTTTAAACCATTTGTTCTATTGACAAGATATTGGAAATTACTAATTGTAAGTTATAAATTTTCGTCATTGTTAAATTGATTTTTGAGAGTAATTATAAAAGAACGCTAACATTATATAAATTGTTTTCTACACACTTAGATAAAAGATAATTATTGTACCGCAAAAATATATAATATATTACCTATGCGATATCTATGAAATATAGAATATGTACATATATTTTTATAGTATTATTTATCAAAAAAATTTGTTAACAAATGTATAAAAAAATTTGTTTTTCTTTTTTCTGTAAGGTAGATTTAATTTAGGTATATTGTTCACATATATATGTAGATAATTATAAATATAGAGATATTAATAAAAAATACACTATATATAGATAATATTTTTATTTATTTCATATAACGTTACAAAAAAATTTCAAGTCTTATTTACACGTAAATATCGGAGGCAATAAGTGTCGCATCGACTGCCGTATAAAATCGAATTTAATAAATATATTGAAAGATATTTGGTTAATATTTCAAGCACCGTTCAAAGCCTTCTCTACGAATCTTGGTAAAGCAAAAGCTGCCCGATGTACTTTATCATTGTAATACATTAATGACATATGATCTAGATCTTTGTCGCTGAATATCTTCACTGGTTCTGCAAAATTTGTTTGCTAAAAAGAAGGAATTAGGCCGTTAAAATATTGAATATATTCTAAAAAATTGATTTAAGAAGAATAAATATAATTTATAACTAATATTTTTAATAAAAAATTTCTTTACAACACAAATATCAATCCCTAGTATACACAATTTTTCTGTTCTTTATTACATATGATAGGTCAATCCCATTATTAATTTTCATTATCTTTTACAAGTATACAAAAATTATTAAGTGATTCTTACATATGTATTTAAACATTTTTAGAAAGTATCTGTAAGTAGGTATATTAAAAAATTGTATATGAATATTAAATTAATTATTTGGAGCTTCTAGTAAGTATTTCAAAGAAAAGAAATTAACATGATGCGAATATGCCAATTTTGTATGTATGCACTAAGGATTAATATATTAAACTAATATATATATATATATATATATAAACTACCATCAGAAAGTTTAAGACCAAGCGTTTTAAAGACTTAATTTTGTGTTCTTTTTATTTAAAATATATGCAAGTCCAATTTTATTTTTCACAGCATTATAATATGATCCTGAAGGTATAATTAAGTAAAAAAACCAATTACCAGAATTGCACTATTTGTTTTATAATTTTACCATAAATGATGTGTTTTAATATTATATCATATTGGTCCTAAACTTTCTGACGGTAGAGTTTGTTCTTTAGATTATTATTATACATTTACATATTAGTTATTAAATGAGAAAGTATATAATATATGCACATAATACAAATAATTTATGTCTAATACTAACTTCATTTAAGCTTCCAAGAACAAAACCGATTTGACCCGTAGGATACGTCGGTACGGATGTTACTGCGTAGGTAGCGACAGGAAACACAGCCTTACAATGTTGGAATGTATTACATACTTGGTCCAGGTTCGCCCATGCTGTGCCAGCCTGGCTGGCAATGATTCCACCAGGTTTTAATGCAGATTTCAGTAATTGATAATATGCATGTTTAAAGAGATTCTCGGCAGGACCTAAACAAAGCGTCGAAGTTATTAATTTCATTCGTAATATCTTTCATTAAAGAAATTGTATATTTTTTTTTACTATAAAAAAGACCTTATAGAGAAAAAAACTTTAAGAAAATTCTATAATAAAGTCGTCTGTTTTACCAACTAAGCGCAATAATACAATATTTGTCCTAATTTCTTTTTTTTTACAGATTTAAAAATTCTGTTCCATAATTAAAGTATATTAATTAATATAGCATTAATATAAATGGAGTTCATGTCGAATGTAAATGTAAATCCTATGTGTGTCCTGTTGAGTCGATAAAACAGATGACTTTAGGATGCCTTTAATGAAATCTCGTTGAAACAACTAATAAGTACATTAGTTTTGCGACACTTGCCTACGGGATCGCTACTGTCAGTAATGATAACATCGAATTCTCGTGAATGATGGTTCAAAAATTCGAATCCGTCGCCAACAATGACATTTACATAAGGATTATTAAGACCTAAACTCAAACGGGGCAAATATTGCTTGCACACTTCGATAACTCGGTCGTCGATGTCTACCAATGTGACGCGCTCTACATCCGGATGTTTCGAAACCTCTCGGGCAACCCCACCGTCACCACCACCCACTATTAGAACCTGTTATTTGAAATTTCGAGTTATCTATATATTTTTTTAAAGATAATTTCATGACTTAAAGAAATACAATATTTTAATGATATGTAATATTTACCACATATTTGACTTAAACGATTCATTAATTATTCATTATTAATCAATGAAGCATATGTCTCTGACACATTTTATCTATATTTTATTACTAAATATAATAATAAGAGAGAGATAACTTATGATACACGGTTGTTTTATTAAATCAATTAGCATTTTAAAAGTTTATTACTTTTATATAAATATATTTCGTATAAATATATTTAAAAAATTTAAATAAATTGATATAAATATAAAACCTAATATAATCGTTAGATATACGTGGGTGGTTCAAGTCAAACCGGGACTTTTATTCTCATGAACATAAAAATAAAAAAAGTCTCGGTTTGACTTGAACCACCCACGTATGTATAATATATCAGTTATTATTCTTACATTTTGTGGTTTTGAATGACTGCAGAGTGGTAAATATGATATCATCTCGTGATAGGACATTTCATCTTTCTCCGTGCATTGGATCACGCCATCGAGCATTAAAGCTTTACCATGTTTAAATCTACAAACATAACATTTTTATATCTAACAAATTATATACAGTTTAATGTTTTTTTAATTCTTAATGTAAATTTTTAGTCCATTTGATTGTTAATGTATTTTAAAATACTGGTCTTATACATTTAACAATTTTGCGGCGTCACTGAGGAAATACTCACGTTTTCACTACCAGAATATCTTGGTACGAAGAGCGCTCAGAATGCAGGACTTCTTCTACTTCCAGCGAGAGTGCAACGCCAGGCCAGAGCTCGCTGTTCAATTCGCTGAACCAGCCCAATTTCATAGCATTCATGTTGTAGTTTGGATCCGATTTGCTTCACTGAAGTATGCTTTGCATAAGAAAGTTAACAATGTAAGAACAGTACGAACATAGTTAAAACAAACGTTACATGCTTCTAAATTATAGTAAAGATAGCACGTTAACTTAATTAACATTGTGTTACGTAATCAGTTGCACTTCAAACATTGTGCTGCTGTTGAATAATGCTGTTGAATAATGCGATGTAGCTTTTCGTCTTTAATTTATGTTGCACGGAGAAAACAGTTTCCTGACAATGCATATTTTATGATGTCGTAGCAAACGTCGTCAATTTTCAAAAGATTTTTTTCTAGTATTTAATTCGTGAGTAGTTTCGCTCAATCTGTATATTATTCCGCTGTAATAATAAATTGATTCTTATCTTGTCAACAATGAGCTGTAACAACAAAATAGAAAATAAGAAAATCCATCCTCGATATATTTTAGATAATCCACAGTCTAATGAAGCAGCAATGTATGCAATGAGTAGATGCTATCATAGATAATTGCAAAATTTTTAAGACACTCAGTTATGCAATAGACAAGTAATAAAATGTCGCTACGTTATATTTATTTCTAGGACTTATGTTACTTGACTTCATCTTGCATAAATTATTATTACTCGGATTATCTTATTTTAATTTAATTCTCCTATAGTAAAAGGGATTGGATGCGACTCCCGATTTTTTCTATTTAGCAGAGAAAGAAGTTTCATGATATATTATTTACTTTTTTTACCCATTTTGTTATATTGATTGGATGAAATATGAACAAAACAGCATTGGGTTAGAAAACTCAATTTTAAGATATATTCAGAAAAATGTACCTAGAATTGGATCTACTTTTACTTAAAAATTCACCTTACCATATGTATGTTAAAAATTGCTTATAACATTCATTAATAGAGAAAATCTGATAATCCTTGTTATTAAAGAGATGGTACGAAACACTGAATATAAAGTAATCTTTGATAAATATAATCTTCCACGTGATTGACTTCTGTCATGCATTTTTAGATTATTACGTAAAGTGGTATTATAAGATACACAGGAATTGCAATGACGTTCACATATGAGCACATTCTAAATTATTTCTTCAATGACTCCAATTAAGGGAAGATGAGACCTTTGAACGAGAGAAAAGATAGGTGCGATAAATTGCTTGCCACAAATTATTCACCGAAATTGATATATAAATGAATCTTCTTCCGGATGAAGTCGCACTTACTTCTTTTTACGCAGTGCATTTCGTTTAATGTCTCGCACATAGCGATCCACATTTTGTCTTTTAATGTAGTAACAATGTGTTACAAATATCGCATGCTAAGAATAATAATATAATTTGACGATTCGTAAAATATTACTGTAGAAAGGTATAAAAGTTACACAAAAAAGAAATAATATTAGGTTTAATAGTGATGCAGCTTTAATATTTTTGAATGATTCGGTGTTTAGGTGCGTGTGTGTGTGTGTGTGTGTGTGTTGTGTGTGCATAAAAAATTTATGTATATTTTGAATATGTTATATAATTATATATATTAATTATATTTTACATTTATTATAATTATATATATATAATTTTTAAGATGCTGAAAAGTATAATAAATAGGATGTTAAAAAAACAGAAGAGTTCAGAACTTATTTGTTTATCTTTCAGGACTTATTTGTTTATTTTGTTTATCTTCCCATATATATTATGTAAATAGTGAATATATATGGGAAGATAAACAAATAAGTCCTGAACTCTTCTGTTTTCTTAACATCCTATTTATTATACTTTTCAGCATTTTAAAAATTTATATATATATAATTATAATAAATGTAAAACATAATTAATATATATAATTATATAACATATTCAAAATATACATAAATCCTTTATGCACACACACACGCGCGCGCGCACGACACACACACGCACCTAACACCGAATCATTCAAAAATATTAAAGCTGCATCACTATTAAACCTAATATTATTTCTTTTTTGTAACTTTTATACCTTTCTACAGTAATATTTTACGAATCGTCAAATTATATTATTATTCTTAGCATGCGATATTTGTAACACATTGTTACTACATTAAAAGACAAAATGTGGAAACTTATCATTAAGATAATAAGTTTCATAACGCTGATTTCTTATCAATAATGAGAGGTTTTTCAAACGCCTAATGATTAACGTCAAAATTACACTTAATTGATAATAGCTTTTTACTGATATAAATTAAAATCACGCTATATTAAATTAAATAATTACCGTAGCACAATCCGATATGTCGCTGTAAAATTTTGAACTCACAAATTAATAATTATACCGATAACCGGTTTAAAAATATCTTATCTGTTCATTCTGTATTATGTTATAACTCGTTAGTTATTATGACTTTCGCTTATTAGCAGCACAACAAATATTAATGAAATGTTCTTTAAACATGTATGTCATTTGATTTGATTTACACTTCACATTTTCTGAGACACGCAAAATATTCACTTTTCCAAGCACGCAATAATAGTTTACCTATGATAACCGTGGCTCGCCCGAAGAAAGCTCGAAACAAACTGAGACGAAGGCGCGCGTGTAGCCTGGTTTCTCTTTATAACTGACTCGACTGTTTAGATAGGTTTATCGTTACTAACACACTGCCCGATAACGTAATGAGGCCCATAAAGATTTATTCATACTAGACGAAGACACGTCTCATCTCGCTAGTACTACGACACAGCACAATTTCTTTTTTTGCGTATTTTTATAATTTACAATTTACAGGGATGCGTTGATATATTTAGTACGCTTATACACTGTTAAAAATTTCATCAAATTTAATATATTTTCTATGAAAATTTATGAAATTTGATGTAATAAACACATTCATTACATTTAAGTAATTTACTGTAACTTAATTTTCAGTTAAATCATTCATTATTTTTAATTTCGTTCATAATCACGAGCTTCATTTACATGTAAACAAAGCTCGTGGTCACATTTCTAACAGTGTATATAATTTCAAAATTTACCCTGAAACTATGATAGTTGGTGGTACAATACAATATTTTAAAGATTTTTACCATGCACTTCAATAAAATTAAATCTTCAAACTTATTTTATACTTTATTGTAGTTTTATCAATGAATGAGAGAGATTTACATTAAAATTTTTCGAAATACAATATTGAACCACGACTACCATATTTTCAAGGTAAACTCTAAGAAAAAATTCTCTCCGTGTAATATTCGAGAAACGTATATATTTCCGTTACACATACACACACGAGTATCTAATTATGTGTACAGGACACTAATTAACACACTATGAATTATTAAACCAATTATGTAATGATTCGATCGGAAATGTTTCGTCACCGTCCGGTATGAATGGTCCTTTAATGAACAGATAACTCTTGAACTTTATATTTGATTTTTTGCTCGAGGAGATGGATGTCGTGCATCCTGTCTATACAGTAAACTACGAGAGACTAAAGACATGAATTTTCCTTCCAAAGAAAAGTAAAAGATTTTCTAGCATCTGCCTTTTCTAACATTTTTGAGCCTAAGAAAATATTATAAATTAGGACCCTCTCTAATACGGTCACTACGGTAGTCACTCAGGTAGTCAACACTCAGGTATAAAATTCAAGCGCGGGTCAAGCTTCGTTCTTCAAGTGAAAAATTTTGCACTGACAGGAATCTTTTGAAAGAGCACAAATATTACAATCTAATAATTCAGTTTTCCCTTTCCGTCGAAGTAAAATGTAAGAGTAATAGAAATAACATTCTATAAGAGAATGTACGCAATAAAAGAAAGAAACAATCCAAGATTCCATCTAAATATGTTCGCTGCAAACTGCATGTCAAAATCACAAATCCTCTATTGTTTAATTTATATTAGGAACGTCTTGAAAATAAAAAGTTCCAATCGAATCGTTTTACAATAGCTCCCATAACTTTTTTCTGTTTATTTAAGTTGTCGAACAGATATAGAATTTGTATTTATACGCCTAAATTCAAGACAATTTATGCATGCCCCGGGAAGCTCCATTAGTCACCGACGATCGATCTTGTCGGCTTTCTCCAGTTATCCCCAGGGGGATCATTCTGTCTATTAACCTTCATAAGATTTATTATACCAAACTATTATACATAATTTTAAAAGCAGAGACAGAGTGAAATCTTCATTATTGTCCGTTTATGAAAAAGAGAAAAGCAAGATACAACCCATACTTGTTTATTATATGTATATATTTAATATATATATATATACTATCTATATTTTTTTAAAAAGAACAGTTCTATGAAATTATATATTACCAACAATCTCATTTTTGTACCGGTTTTCAATATTTTTTGTTTAAAGATCATATCTGTTCTTTACTCAAATATCGACAATTAATTGTCAGTACCTATATTAAGATGTCGTTTCTTTGGCATGATTTATTTTTTTATATTTATTTTTTAGAATTATTCAAATAGCATAAAGCGCAAAATCGGAACATAAATTGTCATATAAGACAACTTTTAGATATATATTTTAGACAGTTCTCTCGTAAAGTTAAGACGTCTTTTAGATGTTTTATAAGACGTCTTATGTCTCAAATTTGGCTTTTTTATTTAAATTGTTTTTTTAGGTAATTAGTGATCCTGTGAAATAATGTTACTGTCAAAAGATTAAGATACAATTTTCTTGTTAAAATATACCTATCTCTTGTTTTTTTCAAATTTTTTTTTTTTAAATAAACTTGTTCACTTTTTTTAAATATAACAGGAAGAATTAACAGATTATTGACTGTTGATTCTATCAGACTGATATATTGCAATATGAAAATTATTTTATCTAACAAAATTTACCTACAGTTAATCATTTTTTATATTAGCAGCATAGGATATCTTTTGGTCGTTTCTGCATTCTTGTATCTTGCTCCCTACATTATTGGTATTGTTACAATAGGAAACTGCAATTCCATCTGATGATAAACTCTTGTCAAATAAATAAAATTTATTAATGCCATATATTTTGAAATCAATGTTAATTACATAAAAAAGATATCTAACAGGTATAAAGTTTACAAAAAATCCATGGAAATAAAATGTTGGAAAACAATGGATTTATATTAAACAAAAAACGAGAAAGATTATAATTATGTATTTTAACTAAACATATCACAAACATTTATTGTGCTTAAAATACACTTTTGCATTTTATTTTACATTTTTATTTATTATTCTAATAATTAAAGTCTCAAAATGTTTTATATAATATTTTATTATATTGAGAGATTTACATTAGAATTATTGATAGTTTTTACAAATATTAATAAACAATTACCAAATCTTGAAACAACCTTTGAAGTAATATAATTCATTCATTTATCATTATTAATAAAGAATATCAAAATTTATATAGATGAATTGATTATTTATTAAGATCAGCGAATTGCTTGCAATTTTATAGGCTTTTTGCGTTTTAAAAAGAATTTGTAAATACTGAATTTACGGATTAACTGTAAAATAAGATGAAAACATATCAATTAAACTATGAGGCTTCTTTGGCGAAAGTATTATATCTTGATTACTGAATCAGTTGCAGTGGCGCGTGTTGCTACAGAAGTCCGGACTGTGAAAATCAAGGATCCGAGAGGGATTGCGACTGCTAGTCGCGTAGTTTCGAAGTTAGTTATGTTTCTTGCTTTCGCTAGAATACCTCACAACCTTTTGCATGTGTTGCCGTATCTGTTTGAGCGTTTCCCCATCACTGCCTTCACTCATACGGCTAAGACACCGTGTATTATTTCAAACGAAATCCGCAATTCATACGAGATTACTCATCTCGCAAAGACAAATACATTATGTTTGTGCGAATTTCTCATTTCAATGCTGAAGAAGAAACAACCATTTTCAATAGTTGATGATAACAAATAAAAAATTCTTTTAATTTGTTTTTTTAACTGTTTACATATAGTTCTCTCTTTTGTCTAATTAGTTAAAGTTATAACATTGCATCATATCTCAGTATTCAAATTAATTTGAATACTATTACATTATTAAATAAAATATCTAATAGTCTTAATAAATCATCTCTTACTAAATCATAAATTACATTCCTATGAAAGAAACACGCTCTGTAGTTCTTAAGTACCAACGGTGATACGCTTTTACATTTCAGATGTTAGAAAAGTTTTAATATAAAATAAATTATAGTTCCCTATTTTATATTATACAAAGTAGGACACCTAAAACAAAACACCGAAATATTATATTTCGAAAATTAAACCTAGTAAGCAAAAATGTTTTAGACAAAAATTATATGGCTTTAAGGGGGGCAAATATATCATCTATACTTTTTTAAATGGAGTGATATGATTTCTTTTACATAATATGATTCCTCTAATTATTTGAATAATTAACACCAATTTTGCAAATTAAAAAATTACTCTGCATAATCTATAACGCTTTCAATTTATTTCTAGGCTACATGAATCGCCGGTTCTTCGGGATTCTCCGTCCGGCAACTGCGCGAGAATCGAGGTAAATGGAAACGAAAACGCGAGATAGGAATCTTCGGAGCTTCTCGATGGCGGGAGAGTGCGAGCCCGACTCCTTTCCCTTATGAAATTACAAAGCTAGGATAGAGATACTACTGAGATCAATTTCTTCTTCTTCTCGCACGATCGCAATTCGGCCAACTCCGGTTTCCACTTCCTTGCCTAACGGATAAGCCAGATATTGGAAAAATCAGGCGGAACTTTCCCTCCTGCCAAATCCTTGAGCTGATTAGCTCGTTGTGGTTCCAATTTATTCTTTTCAGATAAAAAGTGTCGTGAAACGTCCGTATTTTAATCTGAGATCTATATAAGATGAATATTGGTGGTTAAAATAACAACCTTATTTTTACATCTACAATTATATGTTAAATATAAAAGGATGAAATTTAAATCAATTTTATAAGTTAAATCATTTTGTTATTTTTTTAATTTTTAAATGTACTATTTTAATGCAAAACGTGTAATTAAAGAAACAATCACCTCTAATTAATTCACTTCTGTGATCGAATTGCTTAATTTCAAATTAAAAGCGTTCATATTAATGTATGCACTTAATAAATAATAAAGGTCTGTTTTTTATTTCTGCACTGGATTACACTAGAATTTTCTTTCTCGTATTCTATAAATATCAAACATATATTTATTTCACTTTATCACTTTATGTTCTAAAAGCGTACACTATAGTTCAGCTATAAAAAACAGACTTTAAATTTAATCAAATATAATTTCTTAAATTAAATTGTTTAACTCTATTATTTTAATTAAATCAATGACATATTAGGAGCAGTGTCGATCTATAAGAATGATAAAAAATAACTCAAATCGGACATAATTTGACATTACAAATTTAACAGCGCAGTTGAATTATTTATAATCAAGATTCTAAAATTCTTATTCGATTGCTATTTATATCTGCTTCGGATTAATCAAATGCTTCAGTTATCGGAATGATTCA